GGTCGTGCCTGTCAGCGACGTGCCACCACCCCGACTCTAGTCCAGCAGCGGTCAATACATCTAGTTCTCACGTTGGATGCACACATGGCAGCCATTTCGTTTTTGGTCGACTGCGCATCGTCGCCAAAGGAAACATGATGGAGCGAGTCCGTGCGCACGTTTTGAATCGCGGTTCAAGGTGCCACGTCGTGGGGAGGAGTTCGCGTGGGGAAGCGCGTTGCGGCAAACGCGGTCGAGTATCCTCTTCGATGGCCTCCGCGTAAGATGTGGCGCTCACACCAAACGCGGGTCTTTTCATGGCGTCGAGCCCAATTCAGGGCAAGGTGTGCGCATTGCACGTGCATTCCAGCCATCCAGGCGGCGCTGCTGCTGCTGCCTGCGTCGAGGCCAGCACACCAGCGGCCGTCCCTCCATCCCAAGCTAGCAACGTTGTCGTGATGCAAGAGCGTCACACTCTGGTATATACCACAGGTCATTTCCACGCTCTTGGCTACACTTCATGGCAAGTTGTTGCGTACGTGGCGCACATGCGTCCAGATGCAGTGCGCCGCTTCGTCCGGGCTCATTTGTGTCACGTCCAAGTCGATCGGATGGGGCACTGCGTCGAAGAGCGTTTTCGTCGCGTAAATCGTGTCGAGGTCGTCGGGGTTGGTCAGCTTTCGGCCTTGGCGTTCGTCGGTCGCGACGCGGCGTTTGTTTTCTTCCAGCGAACACCGCAGCAACACACCGACGACGGGGATGCCCGCGTGCGTCGCCGCCGCGTAAACGTTGCCAAAGACGCCGACGTCGCCTGCTCCGCCGGCGTGGGCACCAGTCATGATGGCAGGAGCATTTGTCGCGCGCAGTTGGCTCAAGAGCAGGTCGACAGCGTTCGCATGGACGTCGCCACGAATGCGCTGGTACGACGGCGACGCACTGCCGCGTGGTCCCGCGATCGCTTTGGCCAAGTCAATCACGTGGTGGTTGGAGAAAAAGTGGCATGTCGGGACTAGCCGCTGCATGGCGTGACCAATAGTTTGTTTGCCGGTGCCGGGCCATCCGACGAGGTACACGAGCACAGGGCCCTCGAGCGCGGTGCTGTCCATGCTCGAAAATGCCGACGCGCCGCCATCGCCCATACGCTTGATCTCGCGTGTTCCGAGGGCGACGCGTGCGAATTTCAGCCAATCAAAAGTGTACATGCTGCATCCACGCTTGCAAAAACGTGGATCGACCAATCCAAATGGATTTTCAAAACATTTTCCACCAATCGTTTTCATTGGAATGGATCAAGAGTAGTATATTGCGGGGAGGCGTTCGGCAGGCACGAGCCACTCGGATGCAGCTTCGCATGGACCGACCACTCGTGCGTCCACTGTTTCGATGGGGGGATGCGACGCCCCGTCCTCCTCTGTTGGAGTAAGCGAGGCGGCGGTTGACCTCCCGCAGAACGTCCCCTCCGAGTCGAGCTTGGACACGTCCAGGCAGCCAACTCAACCTCCCCCCCCCACGCAACAATCGATTCATGGACGTGATGAAGTGATGTGGCCATTCGCTGCCACGTGTGGCGTTTCGATGGGGGGATGCGATGCCCCGTCCTCTTCTGTTGGGGTAAGCGGGGCGGCGGCTGACCTCCCCCTCCCACAGAACGTCCCCTCCGAGTCGAGCTTGGGCAGCACCATCTTTGGACGAAAACGACTTGCGGGCTGCCAACTCGACCTCCCCCCCCACGCAACAAGATGGGGGGATGCGATGCCCCGTCCTCCTCTGTTGGGGTAAGCGGGGCGGCGGTTGACCTCCCGCAGAACGTCCCCTCCGAGTCGAGCTTGGTCAGCACCATCTTTGGACGAAAACGACGTGCAGGCAGCTAACTCGACCTCCCCCCCCCCACGCAACAATCGATTCATGGACGTGATGAAGTGATGTGGCCAGTCGCTGCCACGTGTGGCGTCCGCGTGGACGCCGAGAGATGCAGGGCACAGGGGTGGACACGAAGGCCGTGGCTGGCGGCTCGCGCCAACGATCTCGTGTTCGTGGGGTGGACATGCTCGTGCAACGCTATGTGTCGCGGAGTTTGGTGCGGTGGCCACCAAGCATGAGGTCTGGGACGTGCTTTTTGACCTTGGCCATTTGCAGCGTTCGGATTTCCCGGCACACTTGGCCGATCTGTCGCAGCGCAGCGTGATGTGGCCCGCGAGAGAGAGAGAGAAGGGGGGGCGGCGTACCTCGATCTTGTGGTCGAGATCAAAGTCCAACACGTTGAAGAGCACATTCACGTCGGTCGCCGTCATTTTCAAGCACTGCACGGCTTTGGTAAACTGGGCGCGGTCGACCTGGATCGACCGATGAAACCACCCCACGCGCGCCGCCCCCACTCTCGACCTTCTTACCCACAGCACGCCCAACGCCGTGCGGTCCCATCCCGCGTCGTAGCCGTTGGGCTGGGCATTCAAGAACGGACGGTCGTCATCGTCCAAGTGGACGAGCCTGCAGGCAGTGCGGTCAAAGCATCGCGCGCAACGACGGCAAGACGAACCGCATGTACTCGTCCACGTCGATCGATTCGTACGTTGGTCGGAGATGCACCGGGACGTTCTCGATTGCTTGGTGTCGCAAGCAATGAAAAATGTACTCGACGGACCGCTCCGTGATGGAATTGTATCTACGGATCGCCACGGTCACGATCGATCGTCGACGACGGGCGCCGCACCGAACGATGCGGTGCATGGCTTGTTTGCGATGCACCACGTTCTTGCGGCGGTCCTTCTCGGCCTGGATCTTGCGGGCGTACTCTTCCATCTGCGCCACCCCGTCATGTCGTTGTCGGAGCTAGGGGGCGGAGGACGCGCCGCCGGCGCGCACGTACTGTGTTGGTTTCAGGCGTGTCGACGCAGTATACGGTCGCGGTTTTCAGATACGACATGCGGGCGGTCTTGGGGCTGCGTGGTTGACGCGATGGACGTGGTCAAACTCACAACGACAGCATGACATACCGCAGTTTGGCCCCTGCGACTTGGATGGCGTGTTTCATCAAGTGCACGGCCGACTTGGGTCGGGTCGTCGTCGACCGAGGTTTGTGTTGCGCGTCGATGCTGGGGTCGGATGCCAACGCGTCGAGGCCGAGTCGGCAACTTCTCGACGGCCTACACAAACGTCATCGCCATGACGTTCCAAGGATGTCCATGCTGTTCTAGCACGTCGACGACATCGTACGAGGCGACGGGAAGCGAGTACATGTGCGCGGGATTCTTGTGCCAGTGGATGCGGGCACGGACGGCGTTGTGGCCGCGTTCTGGGATGCGGTCATGCCACGAGAAATGTGTCGGACAACGACGCACCAGCGCTTTGCGCTCGACGGAGCAAGGTGTCGACGGTGCGGGTGGGCAGGACGTACGGCGGGCGCGCGCTTCCCTGGGCGTCCCGAAGAGCCGTCGGGTTCAATGACGAGCGGGCATGCTTTGATTTGGCCGGATCGGTACGATGTGGCGAGTTTGGGGGGACCCACGGCGTCTCGGGGTCGGGGGCGTCTGCCGCGTGATTGTTGTCGGTTGAACCTTTGGGCCATCCCCCCGGACAGTCGCTGTTGTGGTACGAGTCGCACGGACGGCTCACGCGCGGCTTGACCCAGTCCTGAGCAGGGCTGGCTAGTGCCTTGGCGACGTGGTTCACCTGTCCATGGGGTGAGCAAAATATCACGACGGGGCCAAGGTTACGTCGGCGGGGGGGTAGGCTAAGAGCAGGTTGCGAAACTCTGCGGTCGGACACGTTGCCGCGACCACTTCCCGGGCTGCGTCGCTCGGCTCGAGGAGACCGTCGATTCCACTTGCGCTCAGCTTGAAGCTAGTCGACACATGCGTTGTCGGTGAAACCATGTACGATCGATGGAGTTGGTGCACAAGCCCCCCCCCAAAACGACTCGCTCGGGCGCCACCGTCCGCTCGACGCGCCCGCCAGTGTCAGCGACGCCAACATGGAAAACTCACCTTGACGCTGAGTTATTCCGCCCCAGTTTCCAGTCGCCTCGAGTTGGCACTCGGTGGCGGTCCGGCACCGTCGTTTGAAGGTCCTGGACAAACCCGACATGACCCGCGGGTGGCCGTCCCTGCGCCAGCGCGACCGCACCTGTTGATGACATCGATGGCGAGAGCACACAATTACCTGAAAGGGCGGCTGGGGCATGTCGCTGGCATCAGCACCATTGGCGTCTTCTTGGACGAGTTGGTGGAGGGCCAGTCGGTGGCGAGGCTTGCATTTCCGCGTGCTGGGAAAGCTCTTGGGGCACCCTACGTTGTATAGCGCTGCTTTTCGCTCGACTTCGGACGCAGGGAGCTCGGTCGGTCGCTTCTTTTTCTGGCGTGACCCGTGATGTGTTGTAACCCCAGACGATCGCGGAAGCGTACCTTGGCCTGCCGCCCACCTGCCGGCGCCGTCGTCGACGAGGCCAGTGGCATGCCCCACATCGAAATGTGCCTGCCTTGAAGATTAGGGAGAATAGTTGCCATGTTGCTATGTTTAGAACGACACAATCGTCGTGCGGGTCGAGTTTCCACAATAATTCGACCACTCCCTCGCGTGATGAACGGTGCTGCAAGCACAACACTACTGCGAAGGCTGCACAGAGCACACTTGGACGATCCGCGGTTGGTTGGGACGACCGCATTGACAGTGTGTGTTGTGGACGATCCATCGCAGCGTCCGCGATCGAATCGTTCATGGGGCCTCGGCACTGCAGGTCGTTCCTTCAGTACATAGTTCGCTGCAGCGTTTTGCTTGAAGTATGTAGCAGCAGCAGAAAGCACTCCGAGTACACACACACATCAGGCACACTGGTTTCGATATCCATACATTCCATGGGTGTTATTGTCGTCGGTTCTCAATGGGCCTTGCGCTTGTTTTGCGAGCTAAAGTACGCCTTCGAGTCGGTGGGGTTGGCGACCATGGTGGCGGCGCCGGGCGTCCACCCTGCCGGGCACACTTCGCCGTGCTCGTCCGTGTACTGGAACGCTTGCACGAGGCGCAGGGTTTCGTCCACGTTGCGGCCCACGGGCAAGTCGTTGATCGTGATCTGGCGCAAGATGCCCTTGGGGTCGATGATAAAGAGACCGCGGAGCGGCACGCCTTCGTCGTCGCCGTCCTCGATCAAGACGCCGTAGTCGCGCGCAATCTTTTTCGTGATGTCGGAAATCACGGGAATGTTCATCGGGCCGAGGCCGCCGTCGTTGCGCGGGTGATTGATCCAAGCCAAGTGCGAAAACTTGGAATCGCACGACGCCGCCAGCACGACCGTGTCGAGCTTCTGGAACTCGGCGATCCGGTCCGAAAACGCAATGATTTCCGTCGGGCACACAAACGTAAAGTCGAGCGGGTAAAAGAACAGCACGACGTACTTGCCCTTGAAATCGGACAAGCTCACGTCTTCAAACTCGCCGTTGACGACGGCCGGCGCGGTGAACGCGGGCGCGGGCTTGCGGATCGTGGCTACCATGGCTGGAGGGGACAGTGCTTGCGTCAACTGCGTAGCCAATGCGCCAGCCAATCATTGTTCATCCATGACGTGGTGCAGTGGCTTTTGGCCGGCGAAACCACGCGCATCGCCATGGGCTAGACGGTTGCCATCGGGGGCTACAAGGGGCGAGCGCACGGTTCGCCGTCGCCATGTGCGTTTGCAAACTGTCCGATCGGGCCAAACGCGATGCCATCGCAACAACGCACAGGCACGAACGGCCATGGGGTCCGGAATGTCGCCGAAGGCAGAGGAACGTCGTTCCAGCGTCGGAAAGCGTATCGCGCGGTTGTCGCGTTTCGATGTGAATCCTTCTCGAACGTTCACCCACGATCTCTGGCACGTGGCGCGGCGGGGAGTGTGGCCACGCCCATCGCGCCGTGCTCTCGACATGCTGTCGGCAACGTCGTTAAAGTAGTACAAAGCAACGACGTGTGTCCGTTATACAAGGTCACGGGCATGCCCCAACGAAATGGCTCGTCCAGGATGGCCCTGGAAAGAACGCGTCGCGGTACCGTTCGCAGGGCCATGGCAAAACACGACGAACCCGAACGCGACTGACGTCGCCGCACACTGGATTTGATCGCTTGTCCCTCCCCCGTCGACCAGGTCGTGTTTGGCGGGGGAACTATCCAGATGAATGGGTTTGTACTCTTTTTACGGAAACGCCGCCGTCGACATGCCATTCTCGTCGATCTGTCTCATAGAAAGCCACACCTGCGATGGTCACATAATGGCGCCCAGCAACACACAGCATGCCGATATCGTACACCCACGAGCGAGTCCAATTCAAGTACTCCGTCGTGTTCACGGTTGAAATGCACACCGGATACGTGGATGCCGCAACGTGTCTACTACCTGTTGAGAGTCCTCGATGGGCAGCGTCATAGACTCACAACACGGAATGAAACGGGTGGTTGTCCTTGAAAAACGGAAACATTCCTCCCATGGGGACTATTTTAAACGAATTGGCTGCGTGCGTGTCGCTGGCCACTCTTTGGTGCGACAGGCACTCGACGGCTCCCTCGCCTGCAAGTGGCGCCCATTTTCCAAAAGTTTCAATGGTAGCCACGATCCGCAAGCCCGCGCCCGCGTTCACCGCGCCGGCCGTCGTCAACGGTGAGTTTGAAGACGTGAGCTTGTCCGATTTCAAGGGCAAGTACGTCGTGCTGTTCTTCTACCCGCTCGACTTTACGTTTGTGTGCCCGACGGAAATCATTGCGTTTTCGGACCGCATCGCCGAGTTCCAGAAGCTCGACACGGTCGTGCTGGCGGCGTCGTGCGATTCCAAGTTTTCGCACTTGGCTTGGATCAACCACCCGCGCAACGACGGCGGCCTCGGCCCGATGAACATTCCCGTGATTTCCGACATCACGAAAAAGATTGCGCGCGACTACGGCGTCTTGATCGAGGACGGCGACGACGAAGGCGTGCCGCTCCGCGGTCTCTTTATCATCGACCCCAAGGGCATCTTGCGCCAGATCACGATCAACGACTTGCCCGTGGGCCGCAACGTGGACGAAACCCTGCGCCTCGTGCAAGCGTTCCAGTACACGGACGAGCACGGCGAAGTGTGCCCGGCAGGGTGGACGCCCGGCGCCGCCACCATGGTCGCCAACCCCACCGACTCGAAGGCGTACTTTAGCAAGCAGCGTTAAGTTTCGATAAACGCGCGATGGGTCGTTCGCGAAGTCGCGTCGAGAGAAAACACTCTGTCGAGTGGTGGCATGCAGTGTGTGATTGTGGCTAGAGCACTCTTGACTCCTGTGGGCCGTTGGCATGTTCCTGGCGCGTGCGACGCCACATTGGGACGCCAAGCATCGGCGCGATCTTTCGCGGGAGCCGGTCGGCATGTCGATATTCGACGCGCTTGCTGCGCTGAGAACTCCATGTGGTCATGCCATCCATCCATCGCACAGCGGCATCCCGTTGCGTTGAAGATGAAACGCGACCATTGTTTGTGTGTGTGCGGTGGGCATGGAGAAGAGGTCGATGGAGCATACTGGTGGCACTCGACATCGTCGGGGGACAAGAGTTGGGATGAAGTATCAAAAACATGGCTCGATGTAGGTCGCGGGCGGCACACCCGCCTTATACGTGCTAAACATGCGGCGTCGGCGGCGGACTCGGGGCCGACTGGGGTGTCGACGCGGCGCTTCCACGGCGCGGGCTCCAATCGTGGCCGCGCGTCACGTCAAGCACTTCATGGTCGTCCAAGCCAAATTCGTCCTACGCGCAGTCATGACGCGCCAAAACGCGATCCGACGCACCAAGTCCACTTGCGTGTGCAGCGCCAAGTACGGATGCGCCGTTTGCGGCTTGAATTTTCGCCTACACACGTCGAGATGATGGCGGGGTCGTCCCATCAAACACGAACATGGCGTACCCAGTGTAGGCGTAGAAAACGAGCGCGGCCGCTTCGGCCACCGCGACGGTCACCCACGTCTGGCGCATGGCACGATGAGAGCCCCGCAGCGACGACCACTGCCATCACCCAGCCCCGTACACACTTGCGGCATCGAGCCACCACACCGCCAGATGACAAACTCACACAAGAAAAACGAATCATCGAATGCCCACGGGCGACCTACCATCGTATACGGCACACTCGCGGCCAGCAAGTACAGCGCGATCCGAGTAAAGTAAACATACGTGACGACGGCTACGTAAAACCCTCGGAATTGAGTCAGCTTGCGCAGGTTGATTTGGGCTATGCACAACACATACGCGCGTGAGATGGATGGTTCGCGACTGTGTGGTGGCCATCGCTGCAAACGAATGAACATCCCACCTTTGCCATCGACGGCGGCCGTGTCGCGGAGTTGGCGAATGCTCCACACAATCGGAAACAAAATCGCGCAGCAGCACAAAATGTCGAGGACGTGCATCGCGTCGCGCCAGTGGACCCACGCCTGCGTCCCGACGCTGGATTCTTGCAGCACAACGACCGCCACATTGATCGCCACCTACAAACGCACCCAGTCGCCGACGGTCATTTGAATCCAAGCACCAACAACACATGGGCACCACGCGCGCAAAAACCCTCCGTCGTGGCTCGAGGCCACTGCTCGCCCCACGCGTCACGCGCAAACACGGCATCCGTACGAGCATGCGCGCGGAGCGCCAGCCATGGCAGTCGATATGGCGAATGCGCCAGCCATGGCCACCGACACGTGAATCGTCGTCCAGACCGAACGAAGTCCATGCGACGCACGCTGGCCAGGGCACGCATGGCGGACATCGCGCAATCTCACACACACAGCGCGGCAGCATCGATGTCCTCCGTGTACCTGCAGCAGCAGCACGACAAACACAACGTTCTTTTCGGTCCGGTTCAAGTGCTGCTTCAGGATCGACCACCCCGTCCCGATGAGCAAGATCACGACAAACATCGCCATGCCTTTGACAAACATGAACACGTAAAACACCACGTTCCACGACGTGAGTGTGTCTCCGTGGTGCTTCATGTAGTAGAACCGCATGGCTTCGCAAAAGGTAGATACGACCTACGGCACACAGTCAAGACGTTGCCGCTGGCTCGATGACACAGTCGAGCAGCACGGCACGATGCGATCGGTACCTTGAGCAGCAAGAGGCCCGTCATCATGTGATGGATGTGGTGGATGTGCGGCGAGTTTTGCTGCAGCGTCCGGCCCCACACACACGCGCCGGCGCCAAACACAACGCTCGTGACGAGGTAAATCAACGGCACCGCCGCGTCCCCAGACGACAAGTAGTTGGAATTCGGGTTCAAGAACGTTGCTTCCATCTACGACCGTGGATGCATGGAATGATGCGCCGCATGAGGGGCACGCGCGGTACCGAGAACGTGAGGCTCGTGTCCGTGTCGCCGCAGTGTGCAAACATGAGGTAGTAAAAGCCGGGGGTGACGACCGTGTGGGACAAATGCCATGTCGTGCTATCGGCAAAGTCCATGCGGTCGGTGGCCGTTTGGTTATCAAGGAGACACAAGTCTTCGTTGAACGGTTGGGTGAAGTACGATGCCGCGTCGTCCACGAGGTCGTCTTCCTGCATGTTTCATGAGGGAAGGGGAGCATATGCGACGCCACGGCGGCGGAAGATGCAACGTACGTGCACGAAGAGGAGGCTGCTTCGCGGTGCCTGCGACAAGAGCGGGATGTCCACCTGGACGTCCATGTGCCCACCCACATCAAATCCGAAGCGCTCGATGAGGAACTGCCGCCTCGTTTCCTCCGTGAAGGACCATTTCTGCTTGAGACTTTCAACGCATTGCATACAGCACAGCGCGATGGCCAGCAGCAGCAACGGATGCGCCAACGACCGGCGCCGCGCAGCCATCGTGTCCGTGTCAGCGACGGCGAATTTCAGAACGGTGAAAACGACGGATTCCGGATAATTATCCGTATTGCTGGTCGCACCGATGGCGAACAGAAACAGCGACCGAATGCCCGGCAACTCTTGTGAAGCTGCGTGGCGCTGCCCCACGACGCAGGCGGCGGGGAGTTCTCGACCTGGCAAGAGCAGTGCTGCCCTCGCTTTGCTTAGTAGAAATGAAGAGTTCATGAGCCAGCTCCCTCCGCCCTCCCGCCGAAATGCCGTCGACTGCTGGTACACGTGTCCCGCCATGGCTACGGGGAGGGAAGACGGGCTCGAAACCACTGGCGCGGTCAGTGCCATCGTGCGTTGGTCCCCGTTGAAACGAACGGGGCACGACTCGACAAACAACGGTGCTATTGTCTCCGTTGTGTTTGACGGCCTACGTCAGTGAGGACGAATAGGTCCCTGGACCCCGCGCAGGACATCTCCATGGTTGACTTTTGGACTTGTGTCTCGGCTGGACCATGGAACGGTCGCGCGCTTTGGGGGTTGTTGGAGCAAAACGGAGCGGTGCTACAGGACAAGAGAGAGACCGACGTCTGCTCCTGGTAGAGTTTGGACGATGCATCGGGTTCTACACATGCGTGGCAAAGTGACAGCGACCCGAACGAATGGGGGGGTGGGCCATGTGTTTCCGAAGCGTCTGTCCGCGCGACGTTGAACGGATGGCCATCGTGCCACGTCGATTCGAGACACATGACCAGCACGTGAACTACGGACCCACTCAACTCATGCGGCCACAGTTGTGATCTGTTTCAGCAGGATGGCCACCATGCGCAACAACGTCGAAATACGCGTTGGAGTCCAACATGTAGGATGGAGCGCAAGCCGATATTTTGATCTAGTGGCGGGCATGCAGTGCCCCACCCGTCCTACCGAGGACATTGCGATCGCATACTCGAGAACCACGACAGATCGTGGCCATCCAACGCCATCGCATGAATACGGCTCTGGTCCATTTTCTTCCACTGTCAACGGCTTCATCATGATTGTTTACTTCCCTCGTCATGTGTCGGCCGTGGCGGCGCGGTTTTGAGCTAACTTGTATCCTGGAGCGTTTGGTATGCGGACATTTGAGACTTGTGAGATAGACATTTGAGACGTGTGACGAGTTTACCTGGCGTGGTGGTGGACTCTGCATCCTGGTATGAAACCCAGCGCAAACACGGCAATGTAGCATATCTTGCTCTTGCGCCAGTATCAAACGAACAGAAGGGTCGCTGCAAGGCTCAAGGACGGCGCTCGTCTTGTTTCGATGTCGGACGGGACTGAGCACAGCATTCAGTGGCATGGTCGCTGGGCATCCCCACCATGGTCATGCGATGTAGCGGATGCCCGGTCGCGTTTTTCCCAAAGGTCAAGATGAATTCGCCGAAAAGCGAATCCATCCACACAAGCCGTCATTCATGCAGTGCGGTCGTCTATCTCGACGACTTGGCCGCGTTGCGGCAGCGACTCCAACCTTTGTGTGCTCAGTCCTAGGACAAAAACATTTTTGGCCACATCGGCGTGGAATTTCCACGTTGGACTAGTTTGGGTGAATCGGATGGAGCACGCGAAAAAAGTGCCGACCAATTTGCCCGCATGCACATCGTCGGGTGCGCTGAATCGAACGACCTGACACGGCCACGAAGTCGAACTGCAGGGACAACTCACCCACAATTTTCATTTCGTCGTCATGGCAAAGACATGCATCTATATAAAGTGGTGGATCTGGATTCTCCTCGCCTTGTTGAGTGGTGTGTCTGCTGGTGGATGCCCCCCCTTGGCCTGCCCCGTCATTGGAGTGACGAAGAGCACGAATCATGCTGTTGGTGCCGGGGCTGTGCAGGCCAGCTTCGTTCACAAGCGGACGCGCACGTGGAACGAGATGCTACGACAGAGCCACGATCTGTGGCTGGGGCTGCTCGTGGAAGGATGGATGGCTGCAAGCCCCCGGTGGTGCGCGGCAGCGCAACATTTCAGCGGCCTGGCGCCCCATGTTGCTGGTCAAGATGGCGGAACGAGTATGGTACGAAACGACGCTTTTGTAGTCAAATGTATCTGGATTGGATTATTGTACGTTCCTGAATTTCAATTTTATTTTAACATTAGCTTGCATTCAGCATATGCTTGACCTATTTCAAACGTTACATCGACGAGGCGCCGCCTGAATCGCGCTTGAATTCACGAGGTTCCGACGTACTTTTGTCGTTCCGCTCTACGAATGGTCAGTTTGGATTTTGCCCGCGGACGCCGAGCGCCGCCCCCCCCCCGACGCGTGCGTGCCAAGATGGAGTTAGCTACCAACCCCGTCGAGTCGCGAGCGTCCCCCATGGACGCAGCCACCAACCCCGTCGAGCCGGGAGCGTCCCCCATGGACGCAGTCGACAAGCCCGTCGAAGGAGCCGCCACGAAGCGCGCAAGGAGCCAACGCGATTGGTACGACCGCAACAAGGCCAAGGCGATCACGCACGCCAAGGAGTACAGCCAAGTGCACAAAGAGCGCATTGCGGCCCAAAAGAAGGCATGGGACGCTCGCAACCGAGACAAGAAACGGGCGCAAATGAAGGCGTATTACATCAAGAACAAGGACCGAATCAAGGAGTACCGAGAACGCGTCAAGCAAGGACACCAGGCCAACTTGGCGCGACAGGTTCGCAACACCACCAGCGTGAGCTCGAACTCGTCGTCGTCGTCGTCGTCCGTCGTGTCCAACTCGGATTCAGAAGGTGTCGCGCAACCGATCTTGTCGCCACGTGCGCCCCACTCGCCCAACGCGTACTTGGCTATCGCAGACTTGGTGGTGACGCTGCCACCCGTTCGTGGCCCCCAGTCCATGACCAGTGGCCCTTTGCGCAGCGGCGCCACCAGTCCCATGAATATTGCTGCCTTGCTGAACCCCGAGACATGACTGTGCACACGATTCCCGCAGCGAAATCCACGTCACATGTCCCGGTCACCGCATCAACCAGCTCCATCACGCGCTGAGTCCCCTGGATGTACACTAGTCGTTCTTGAGTCCGATTTATTAAATGCAAGCGTTGAATGTCGTGGCAAGGAGTCTGGTCACCGCGCACTCGATCAAGCGGCTGCACACGGCGAAGCTCGCGCCAAAAAAATCGTGCGGGCTCAGCTCGACGTGGCAAGTCCGCTCGAGACATCTACTTGCTCACTGTCGACGGTTCGTCCACTTTCGCAGAGCTGGTGCATCGAGGTCGGGCGCCACAACACAATGCGATCCCCGTGGCGAATGCTTGTGCCTTGAATCGTGATGTCGAGGACATTCCGAGGACGGAAACGAATGTGAAACATCGTTGACCGAGGCATGGAGTTTGGGCTCCATCGAGCCACGACATGCTGATGGCGGCATGGTCCATCCACGTCCCCGTGAATTCAAACCACGTCATGGCACGCGGTCGTGCTGTCCAAGAAGGAAAACCACGGATGCATGAGCCCGCCATGTTGAAAACCCGCCACGCCAGTCGTTCCAAGGCTGGCTGGCAAGTCGTTGCGTATGCCAAGCTCGGGCAAACCTTGACACAGCGCGTCGAAACCATCCATTCAAAGCTTGGGGACAACCGATACAGGCATATCCAACCCTCGACCGGCCTCCTCCCACCTCGCGATGGACATGGAGCATTCAAACAATGTACGTTTCCATTCACGTGGCTTTCGAAACAGATCGAGGTGTCGAGCTGTAAATCGCAGGCGTTCCCTGCAACACTTGGTCCTGTGTAGTGAGCGCCAGCGGCACGTTCGAGGTGGCTACATCGTCGCATGTCGTTGCAACGCGAGCTCGTCCATCGCAACGTGGTGTCGCTCTCGTGGGGCTCGGCCCTCGATCGAACGAATCAAGTCGAATGAATAGTACAGCAAGGCCTGGCGATCGCACGATCTCTTCTACCTCGAATACCCACCGCCCGCCGAGAACAGCGTCCCCTTGGTGATACCACCGAGTCGCCGCCCAACAAATCGGCCGACACCTCGATTTCAGGTACGCGTGCAGGGCTCAAGTCGACGATCGTTGGCATGTTGGCCCGTCGTCCAGAGCATGGCCGAAGGACCATCGAGGATTACATTGCCGACGGCGTATATTTAGCCCAGACCGCAGTAGTGCGTGAAACGAGCAGTGACGTGACAAGGCGTGGAGGCGCCCGTGGAGGCCGTCAACTGGTCGCAGCCCGCGGCCCAAAATAACTGACCTCGATCTTTTTCCGCGACCCGTGGCTGCGATTTGTTCTTGTCCAAGGGTCGAGCCAGTGGTAACGGCGGTCAAATGTTCTCGACGGCGTCGGTTCAAAAGGTCGCCGTGGCATCGACGTACGTGTTGTTCGTATTGTTCATTTGACCATGCCCCAACCATGCCGCATCGACGCGTGCCGTCGCTATAGCAAGTCGGGCGGCCTGTGCCTCTACCACATGCGCGACACGATGCCAACGAAAGATTCAACGCCAGCGACGACAACTGCCCCCACGATCTCGTCATCTCCTCCACGCACGACCAGCAACACCACATCAACACGTCGACCACCCATGGCACTGTCCCCTGCGCCAACCCCGACGACCCCGACAACGTCCCACGTGTCCATGGGTGGACCAGTTCCGAAACCATCCGACTTGCGCGCCGCCTCGACGACCACCGGCCCGTACCACCAGCCACACCGCCGATGGGTTGCAATATCCAAGGTCCGGTACCACCACACTGGCTGGATCAAGTGTTTGGTGCCGCAGTGCCACTCGGAAGCCAAGCGGTACGTGCGGGCGGTATGAGGTCACATGGCAGTCGTTGCTGATGCCGTTGTCCAGGCACTTTGCGTTTTGCTCGGGCCATGAAAATTCCGTCGTGTGCGTCCACGAACGGACGAAACAATACTTGTCAACATCCCACGATGTCGCTGATGGAGACGCCGCCCCCGTGGATCGAGTTTCGTCGATGTCTGTCCCAAAGAGCCACATGCGAAGAAGGCCCACGCCTTCGTACACAGAAGACAGGATGCACCATCCCGACCACGGCGCAGCGACGTCATCGCAGCACACACGGCTGCTGCATCCGATGGAGCTGTAACTCGTAATTTAAGCGAAAACAACACGGTCGCATCGTCGTTGAGAAGGCCCTTGCACGTCATGGAGCCCAAGGTGACGACACCGACGGCCACGATGACGAGGCACACACACGTGCCAGCACACGCAACGTCGTCAACTTGCCTTGATGCCACAGGAGCACTCGGTGCCAAAGTCAGCAACGCAAACACTGGCGATCCGTTCATGCATACATCGCATCCTGCGCCATCGTCGGCACACATGCAGAGTCGATGGTACGGCGTCGAGACCTGGCGGCGGTGGGGTTTCGCGCTGGAGATGCACCCAGGTGATACCTCCACCTGACACAACCCGTGCATCTTTTGTGGCTGCTGCGACGTTTGTGTGGCATCCATTGCAGTAGCGGTCCGCTTGCCCGTTCCTGCGACACACCATGCCAAGTACCCACTGGAGAAGATGCACCTTCGTTCATGCGGCGCGGTCTTTCCAGGCATGGCTTTGCCTGGCGCAGCCATCGCACGAGCAGTCGGGCCCATCGCGTCAGCACAGCAATCACACGGTTGACGTCGGTGCTGGCGCCGTTCACGATTCTTAATTCGACCACTTGAATCGAGTCGTCGAGCGCATGCAAGCCTGGTCCATCCGGTTTGTTATGTCGCATGCATCCTCCTCGAGTGTACTGTGATGTGGGTGTGTTCAGATGCGTCGGCCGCGTCGCGAAATGTAGCCCAGCTCTCGACCGTGGGTTTCATGGTGCCGTTTCAAATGCCGGAGCCCAAGCATGGCACTAGGGGCACATGCACGACGCGGCCGCGTGAACTCTGGCGCATGATGTCGTAGTACAAGGGACAGCGCGCGCCGCAACACGCGATTCCCACATCATTCGCACGATGCAGCAACGCGGGTTCGCTGGCAGGATCTCCGACATCACGATTCTTTGAAGATGTCTTGTTGGTGGATGCGTGGCGGGAAAACGCCAAAGCAGGGCGTGGTGGGAGGGTTACCTGGTCGAGTCGAGCACGATGCAACAACGTGCGTTGCCAACCTGTGGACCACATGCCCGTGTCACTCGAATCCATGCATCGTGCCCGGGTGTCGTAGCTCGTCGGGCACAGCACTCCATTCTTTCGGGCTGCGGGCTAACCGACGCTGTACTTTGTAGAGGTGCTCTCGTCCAAATCCACGACGAACTGGCATCGTTGTTGACTGGCATCCATTTTCAGCATGACAAGTGCGGGGATAAATTGCGCCCGTTCATGGGGGTTGGCAAGTGGGCGGCCCTTTAGCACATGTACGTCCACTTTGTTCAGTTCTTTGTCCTGAAGAACGCTCGCCACGCCGTCCAACGGCACGTTTGCATGCCAAACAAAGGGGCATTTCGCGCCGTTCCCCATGTCGGGCGAATATGGGCAACAACGATTGCGAGTGCGTGATGCATACGGGCGACAGCACATCTACTAACAAAGGACAGTGTCCTTTTGCCGTGAATCCCAAGGAAGGGGGAGGCTGTTCTGCACGACGAGGGATGATTCCCGCGATGACCCACACGGCTCGTAGAGTCGAAGGTGGTGGCGACGGCTTCCACAAGTGATTCCGAGTCCATCTTTGTCGTCGTGTGAGCTCATAGTACTCCTTCCACCAGAAACTACAACGATGCTCAAGCACGGACGGCGCTCAACGACCATGTTGCTGGAACCAAGTGGAGGACGCATCGCAGGGTCGGCTGTTATGGAGCGGCACTGCTCCGTCGCGATTTCGTGTAAAAAATGTGAAATTTTTAACAAATATTTCGGACACGAATGCAAACTCTGGGGTGCAGAAGTGATCCGGATAATGAAGTCCGGATATTCCGTCGATCCCACCTGTTCCCCATCAAGTCAATTCAAGACGAAGTACGATGGCGGCAAACCAAAGCATCAAGGAGCTCATGGCGGCCGAGACCAAGGCGTCCAAGATCATTAGCGAAGCTCGACAAGGTACTACGGCTTCTTCATCCCATGCATGGCCTCAAGTGTAAGCTGCGTCTTGGTAGAACGAGGGGACCGCTTGAAGCAAGCCAAGGCGGAAGCTGAAGCTGAAATTGCGGCCTACCGCCGTCAACAAGATCAAGTGTTTCAGATGAACTCGACAGATGTACGTCTGTATGTTGCGAAGATGCGCGAGTTCGACAGGGGGTCATGGAATGCGTAGCTGTTGGGCGATGATTCGACCATCATGGACAAGGAGACCGACCAAGAGATCCAAAAAATGACGTACGATCGATCCTGATCGAAACGAGGGCTCATGCACACGATAGGGGAGATTACAACAAGAACAAGGACGCCGTTCTCAACATGATGTACGGCCATGTCACGAAAGTTGTGCTAAAGGTGCCCGAGGCGCGCAAGGTCACCCACAAGGCGTAGACCGTCCTTCACGACGTGTTCTAGAGCTAGTAGCCCTAGATCGCTAGGAGCGACAGCAGCATCTATATGAATGGAATAGCTTTGCTATCCGTCCCTTCGCCCACGCGACGTCATGCGCATCGGCGGATTGTGTGATACTATATTGTATCGCGATATCCTTGAATTTGTCCAAACCAAGAATATATGCCCAATATTTTCGAAAACGTGCGATTTCGAAAATATTTTTTTAGACAATGGATGCAGCATCATCCTTTTCATTCGTTGTGTCCTCGTTTAAGAATCGCGCAACCATGGCAAGGCCCGCGTTGCAGTGCCAAAGGAAGATCTGCGTGCGTCTTGCTCACATAAAGAACGTTATCAGGCGTAGAATCGTCGAACGGGACCCCCACGGGCCCAGGGCAACTTGCAGAGGAATTTTCGAGCGGCCATACAAAATGAAATTTGACCAATTACATGCAGATATTTTGCATGGACGAATCATATCTCGTGAAAATTATATTTTTGACCAATGAAGCATTCCAAGTCCATGAATTTTGTCCAATCCCAATGTGCCCCATAATGTATCGGTTTTCGTTCCAACGCCGCGCCACACAAGATATCTGCTGGTGTCGACGGCAATGTCTTCCCAGTCCAAGTACCTTCCGCCGGCACTCCGGCCGCGTCTCACGTTGGTTGCTCTTGTAGGGGTAGTCGGCTTGGAGGTACGTGGGTCCTCGCTAGGTGCATCGATGGCCACAACATCGTGTTTGGACGACGTGGATAGATGGCGCGTCATCTAACGCCATGCCGACCTCCAGGTACGTGTCGAATCTGTACGCTTCATCTGAACGACAACGCTGTGTCGCGGCCACGCATCCTCTTTGTCGAGTTTACACGCATGCGACGCTTATCCTGGTGTGTTTCATAGATTGTACACATCTCCCGTCAAGTCGTCGTCAGGTATCCGATGTTGCATCCGTCGCGAGAGACGCTCGTCGTGGTCATCTTCGGCATGTAGCCCACGTCAACAGCAACGGAAGCAATCACGATAACAGCTCTTGGCAGTCCCCGTCAACCACTGCATCAGGTCCGCTCGTGTCAAGTCGCGTCACTGTATTCGAATGCCGTACCACAGGTGGAATCGTTCGACGAAGTAGTCCGTTGACCACGTCGCCGCTCGTCTCGTCCGATCTCACGTCCACCGCGGCTCCGTTCGTGCCGAAACAACAACGATCTGTGTCCAATGCGTCGAGTGCAACGGACGCGGTGCCCGCCGCTTCGTTTGTTCAAGTACTTCGATTCATTCATGCACAAGATGCATATAACCATCCAAGTGCAGCAGGTATCTCATGGCGGGTGCTTCTACTACGTTCCGGACGCGGCAGGAGGTTGGTGTACCGTCCCCCAACTGTTGGAACGACCTCACGATGGCTTCGTTACAGGGGCTACACCTCCGATTCCGCCGGCAAATTTGCATTTAGCCGGGCCGTCGCAGCCACCGCTGGGGTATTCGCATGGCCATGCCCCACAGCAGCAGCCCTTGCGCGTCGACACGGTCCAGCACCACGGCCTGAATGGCCACGTCCCAGGACCCCATCGTTTTTCGCCACACGTTCCCCATCACCACTCAGCGCTCTATCCATCATCGTACGTCGTGCTTGGAGTTGTCGTTTGTGTGGTTGTCGGGCGCTGGGTTGTTCGAGTACACATCGATGGCGTGCATTTTGACGGCATGGCCCAGTGCACGCCGTGCATCAAGTTTTGTGTTTCAACGAAAAAAAAGGTGTGTTGTAAGATTGGCGGCGAATGCGGCCATGCACGCCGCGTCCACTGCTTCGGTGGAGCGGAGCGAGTGTGCGGAAAGAACTGTGCGCGGCGCTTGGTGTTTGCTTTCAATGCGCGTTGTTCATCGTTGGACCTGATGGTGTGTGGTTGGATGGTAGCCCGATCGTAGCGACCCGGCGATCGTTGGCGTCGCTTGCGTTGGCACCATCGATTCGACGGACACTCGACGCCCAGCACGACGAAATGGTGCGCCAGGTCGACCCTGGCGACGAGCGGTACAAGGAAATTCCGTCCCAGTTTGTCTGCATGTGGCCCCTCGACAACACAACGACGTCCCACCGCAACGTGGCGGGGAGCTTTGGGTACCCGTCGCACTCGTACAAAGTCCTGAGCGAGACGGATGGCCGGACGTACGCGCTGCGCCGCATTGAGAACGTACGAACAACGCCAGCCATTGTCCAGCAAGCCGTCGACATGTGGAAGCGCGTTTCCCACGCGGCCATGGTGCCGCTGCATCGCGCGTTTGTGTCCCATGGGGGTACGTTTGTGGCGCCGACCCCGAGCGGCCGTGGATGTCGACTCCTAGTCTGTGTGATGACGTGGCTGCTGCATTTGTTGAATCGCCCGAGCGATCGGGTGGACGATTCGAGTGTGCATACGGGTCGTCGCGGAAACTCGACGCGTCAACTTTGCCATGCCTGACGTCGTCCACGAGTAGCTCTCTTCTTTCTGTGCGAATTCTTTCCTGGCGCCGTCAGTGTGCACCAAAAGTACATGAATCCAGTGCCCATGTCGTCGGTCGAGCCCCCAAGTGAAGCGTTTTTGTGGTCGCTGTTGACCCAAGTGTGTGCGGCCCTTCGCGCCGTGCATGGCGCGAACCTCGCGTGCAAGAGCATCCACGCCAGGCGCTTGTTGCTCACTTGTACGTTTATGCGTCTGTCATCCATGATTCCATCGCGGTGTTGGATGGCGGAAGCGAATGAATCGCCAGCACGCTTGTTCTCACGCGCGTTTCCGCCTGACTCATGCCTTTTACGATCCTAGCGCACGATCGGATTCGAATCACAGGACTCGGTGTGCTCGACGTGCTCGAGTACGATAGCCTCAAGTCCAAACCTCGACTCGACAGCATGCAGGTACGGCCACACCGTGTGGATGTGATTTGTGGCATCGAACGACGACGGCGCGTCGATCTCGTATTCGATGTGGGTTTCGATTGCATCATCGACTGGCGTGTATTTGCCAGCGTGCTCGTGGGTTGAGCGGCGGCCTGTTGTGCCGTGTGGGGCGGAAGCGATCGCGTTGTGTGATTGGAATCGATGCTGCTTTTGGCACGAGCTTGGTGGCACCGATCGGCGGCATGTCCATCATCATGGCGGCGGCATGTGCACACGTGTTTTGGACTGTCCATTGCGGACGCCACGACTGACCAGTGCATTGACGGCAGCGCGATGACATTGTGGCGCTGGGAAAAGTCGTGCTGAGCGTCGCCAGCGGCCGCGACTGGCATGTATCGATTCGTACGTTGGCAGTATGACGTGGCGATGTTTTCAGCGTCGTTGCTGTTGTGTGCTGCAGACCACGACATGGTGGACCACCTGCGCGATCGATACTCGCCAGCGCTCAGTGACGTGGTCATCCACATGCTCGACCACACGATTGATACGGTGCGCATCCCGCTGCGACGCGCTGGTGCGACTTGACAGCACACGAGTCCAGGTCACAGCGTTGAGCGGTCCCCTCCAAGACCATGTCTTTGCTGCGCTCGACATGCAGAGTCGACTCACGGACGAATACGAGGTCCAACTGAGCTCCGAGTACCAGAATGGCCGCATGCTGCTCCTGCTGCTGAAGCTCGGGCTCGTCAACGAACGGCCCGACGTACGTCTTGTTTCGTCATGGGCGTGTCCAACTGACTGTGCCGTGGTAGCTCCATCACGATCGTAGCTGGGCCGACACTGGCGACAGATACCTGCTCCAGTTGTTCCGCGACTACGTGTTCCATCAAGTACGTGCTGCTGCCGGTGGGCACGCGAATCATGGCGAGTCGAACGTCTAGGTCGACGAACTGAATCGACCGGTGGTGGATTTTGGCCACATTGTGGATTGCCTCAACAAACTCGACAGCGCCGCGCCCGAGAAAATTTTGCTGTCGTCGCGGGATGGCCAGTCCGTCTTGGTGGCGTCGTACGTTGGGACGACGACGCACATGATGACGATGCTGTCGTAAAACGCGCGTCTTGGTAGATATGCGGAAGTCCATCGTTGCGTGCAGCGGACGTTTTCCGACCTGCTCACGGCGGCCCAGCACCGACCGTCCCACGTGACGCCCGTGGCCAAGACCAACAGCGCGGGCGTGGCCACGCGTGGCGGGCGCGGCCATGGCCGTGGGGGAAGGGGTGGGCGAGGGGGTGGCAGGGACTAACGCAAGTATTCTCTCGAGGATCCACCGCGACCCCGTCGAATGTCGACGCGACATGGCGACCAACACTGTAGGACGCAGTAGCACGAAATGAAATATTCCATCACACAACAACACGCCGTGTGTCCTGTCTCCATGCCATCGTCGGTGCATGGAACTCGGGCCACCACAGCCGACGCGGACACGTGACGAAACGCGCCGTCGCGCGCCGTGTGCAAACGATTGTCACTCTGTCCACGGCCTCCTTCGTGACAGTTTGTTCTTGGTGGACGGCTGAAGAGATGTGGGTGAAGCTCACGACTTTAGTCAGGGCACAAACGGCCACAACACCCATCACGCTGCGGGGGAGGAAATGCAGCGGCGGCGACGCATCCACTTGATCCTCCAACACAACCGGTTTCCAACGACTAGTAGTAGTACTAGTAGTACAATAACTAGTAGGAAGCGTTCTCGTCGATAGTAGTAGCTACTAGTCCGGATATGACTCGCGCCGTTATGCGTTCATCTCGACCGCGGTGGCGATGGAGCGGCCACGGGATGGAAAGGAACGACGACGAAGAAGAAGCGTGGCATCGTTCAAGTAGTTATCAAGATGTCTAGATGACGGCAGCTTCGTTCTTGAGCTTTTCAACCAAGGTCGCCACGTCAGGGACGGTGATCCCGGCCTTTCGGGCCGTGGGTTCGGCAACTCGAATCGTTTGGATGCGGGGGGTGATGTCGACGCCTGCGCAAACAACAAACTTGAGCACCGATTACTCGACGGGTTGTTACCGTAGTCTGCGATGGGCTTGGACTCGATTGGCTTCTTCTTCGCCTTCATGATGTTGGGCAAAGTCGCATAGCGAGGTTGGTTCAACCGCAGATCGGCGGTCAAGACCAACGGCAGCGACGATTCCAACGTTTCGACGCCGGCATCCGTTTCGCGCGTGATCTGCATCATGCGTCAGTCGGTATAGAAGCAACGACATGGGGACAAAATGAAGTCGTCCGCACCAGAGCCTTCTTGTCGGCGATGTCCAACTTCGACGCAAAGGTCGCTTGGGGGTAGTTGAGCAACCCGGCAAGGAACGCGCCGGTTTGCGCCGCATCCGAGTCAATGCTCTGCTTTCCCAACACGACAAACTAATGACATGGGGTATCATTAGCGACGCAGTCGATGGGGACACGTACGTCGGGCTTTTCGGATTCGACGACTTTCGCAAGGAGCTTGGCCACCGCGAGGGGTTGCAAGTCCTGGTCGAGGCGGACATCCGTTTCAATGTGAATCCCACGGTCGGCCCCCATGGCCAACGCCGTACGCAACGTTTCTTGCGCCTGCTTGGGTCCAATCGACACCGCAACAACTTCCGTCGCGACCTTCTTCTCTTTCAACCGAATCGCTTCTTCGACGGCGATTTCGCAGAAAGGGTTCATGCTCATCTTGACGTTGTTGAGGTCTACGCCCGTGGGCGTCACGCGGACCTTGACGGCATAATCCACCACGCGCTTGACGGCAACCAAGACCTACATGCATCACCGTCAGCGCCGCCCGCGGCCGAGTCAATTGCCCACCTTCATGCTTGTTGCAATTTGGCACCACACAGTCGGCTTCTCTTATGTGCGATATTCGCACAAAAAAAGATGGAAAATCCATCTTCTTTTGTCATCTTGCGGGGTGCAATACACCTTCTTTTGTGAAAGTATCTACCTCCAAAACGCACTTCACCGAGTCGTTTACGTTGACACACGTCCTTGAAATAGTGTCAGACGAATTCGATCCTCCTCGTAATAACTCGCGCCCGCGTAAGTGGCAGCGAGTGTATCACGCGACCTTCAGTCCTTGCAACGCAATACGCTACTAAACCAGCCATTTCAAAATTGTTGACGGTCCGACATAAACCTGCCAAACGAGAACCCCTGCATGTTTGGTGCAACATCAACTAACGAGATAAAACCGTTCGTTTTTTCGAAGGGTATTTCTCCAGATCGTCCAACGAGCGGTGGAAATATTTCTCACGATCGTCCAAGTTGATCGTTCGGGAGGTATTTTTATTGTCCACCGCTGTATGATTGGCTAAAAGTCTCGTGACGTGGAGGATGCAGCGTTCAATGCACGATAGACTGGTGTACATGAGTACAGATTGAAAGTCGCTTATTCATACCTCTCGGTGGCTGTCGCGCTCCGCGCGGCGTCGTGGACGGCGGGTGCGGTAGGTGGTTGCTGGGGCCGCCGAAATTTTGGAATGGAGAGGACTAAAACCCGCCTGGGGCTCACACAATATGAGATTTTTAGCCAATCATGCCGCGGTGGATGATTTGGAATAAAAATACCTCCCGAACGATCAACTGGGACGATCGTGAGAAACATCCTATTTCGAAAACATCCTTTTTCTATAACAGAAAATTTGTCATTTTCATTTAAAATTCTCTTAACCTAAAATATTTAACAGATGTCCTGCCAACATGAACTACCAACATTCCTTTCAATGTCCACATCGGTTTCCAAGTCGGTGGCAGTTGTGGGAGGGGGCGGTCGCCAAGTCGTGCTGGCCAAGCAAGGTGACGTTTTATGACCACATGCAACGGACTCTAGTAGGGGACCGCACATCTAGAGAGAGCTTCCTCCTTCGTGTGCGGAATCTTGTCGGAGTTGTTATTCTAGACCTTTCGCCCAACACAACTTCTTGTCAGAATGACCAACAGGGGTATTCACATACAATTTGGATGGCGTCGCCTTACACGTCCCAGATCTGAGCATTGTATGACGGTTGTGGCCAAAGATGTGGGCCACACACATATTGTATCATATCCACGCGCAAGAGAGGGTGATCGACCGCAGTTCGTCGCTGGTCTTCATGGGAATCGCTCTGTGCTTGCCAGCATCGTCATTGTTCAGACAAATGTATCCGTAGGATATCTCTACCTTAGAAAGGCATATATGTGGTAGTAGTAGCCTGTTGGTAAATATGCTATGTAAAGTCGCACTTTTTTGAATTTGCATGCGGGAACTGAATTTTCCCTTCTCGGCAAATTGAATTTTCTTCATGATTCTTGCCAGGTGGGCCTGTCGTTGAAGTCCAGACGACAGCGTGGCGCTGTGTATCGGACGGAGTCTTCGGTCCGTCAAGTCATCGCTGACAAGCACGAAAGCATGTCAGCGCAAGGAAGCCCACGTCGCAATTCGTTTGTGTACACAACAAACACAGCGCATAAGGCTACGGAACGGAGGGAAGGACTCCGTTGAAATGAAGTTAAGGATGGATCCAGGCGATACTACAAGAGCACTTCGCCATACTGGGCTTTCCCAGTCTACTAGCTGGTCCACAATCTCCAAGTTGTGGAAATTTTACCCCTGCGCGTGGTGGGTGATGCAGTGTGGTTCCAAGTGTCGGTTGGGGGCTCGAAAATATCTCGGCTGTGGGTGAAATTTCGAATCACCTGTTTAACTGGATGCGTTAAAGGCTTTGCCTTGAAATCTTTGTGAATTTCTGCCCATTTTGACGACGTTTTATACGATTCTTGAGAAAACCGTGTCGGTCGTCTTGACGGTCTAAACGTTACACAAATATCGAATATCGGTTGGGAGTTACCTATCGTAGAGTGACTGCGACACGGTGGGGATCCATCACGACCACCTCCTCAGCGACAACTTGACGGCGCTAGGCAGCTCCATGCTGCAAAGAGACCTGCAGTATAGATTGCATGCCAATTGGGGCGACGAGAAATTCACGGGCTTTGGTCGTGGCATTTTGGAAAGCCTCGGCTCAAGCTGCCTGCATACAGAAACGCCCCAGTCGGGGCTGCTGTTGTGGAACACTGTCCAGACGTTCGATTTTGACGAATTCCAGTACCCCTCGATGGCGGTCACACTTCGTTGTGGTCGTCCCGGCGACGAAGTCGAGTCGTCGACACAGATTCCCTCAACACACCCCGTTCGTTGGATCACATGGCGCCGACGCAACGCTGCCAAGAACCATCGTGCCGCCGCTTGGCCAAAGTACAAGATCGGTGCTTGTACCACACGAGGGACAAGATCGCAGCCGGTCGGCAATGCCCCTCTACCTACAAGTTGACGAAGCGAGCGTGGTCTGTGGTCGGCTCGCTTGCAGCGGATGCAACCTCGGGAACCACTCCGAGCTTGGTTCCAGCGTGTCGAGGCGGGGCTCCACGGTTCGTTTATTCTCTCGTCGTCCGCGTGAACTCGCCGTCATGGAAAATTTCGTGTCTCTAGGACGTCTGCATGTTGCGATTCGTCGGTGCCTTGCGTGTTGGAGCGACCGAGCGCAACCATGTCGGTGGCACCCTTCGTTCCGGCAGCGTCGCGGCGACAGCCCCATCATATGCCATTCTCGGCCACCCTGTCACCCCAGACACATGCTCCACTGCTCCCTCCAATACACCTCCGAACCAGCGGTGCTAGCACAACAGTGCCAAACTGCGATGCCAACTCTTCCTTCTTCTGAGCTCCACCAACAAGATTCAAATGCAGTGATTACAACGTGACACCCATCGCGCCCAATCTATCTTGAAGTGGTGCCACCCCCATTGCACAACGTGTCATGACTGTACAAACTATATAGCTTGTGTCGAGGCAGTCCGTCAGTAGACAGGTCGATCGCCCTCTGAACGCGCCCCAGATCAACGTTCGTATTTGTCGAATTCCCGCAGTACATGGGGGATTTCGCCAACGAAGCCGCGGTACTCGCCACATCGCCGCCACACACTGTCGGTCGGCGAGGCGCCACTGGCGTGACTTGAAGCAACAGCTTGTGGTCGGTCGGTCGACCTGGCCCGTAAATAAGAGTTGGTTGGCACCGTCCAAGTATTTCTCGTCAATTGTCAAAATGGAATGCCATTGGTCCAAATATTGGCTCCGTGCTGACTTTGATTGGCTTATTGATGAATATTCCCGTGCCAAATTCGAATATAGGATCGTGATTGGTCGAAATGTTTACGAGCGTTTTGTGCGGGCGACACGGAGTGAGACCACCAAGGTAAATGGCAGAGGTGGTGCATCCCCAGTCCACACAGCAACATGTTTGTTCGCGATCGCCGGGTAAAACGACCAGTTGCGGCGACCCTCGCAACGTATCACACATCGTTTCCCGTCTCTTCGATCCAGCACGTCATGTTTCGAATGTGAGATGGAAAGGGTTGTCCGTGTTGGACGAAATAGTCTCTCCTGCCATTGCTGGACAATTTATGCATTTGGTTGGGTCCATCTTCAATGGGGCTATTTTGCGCGCGCTAGGGACAGTACATTCCACCAAAATATGTGCGTCGTCGGACGTCCTTCTTTGTTGATGACCGTCGTACGGCCTCCAGATATGGTTGGAAAGAACATCCTCGGCTCAAAATGGACCCCTCTCACGTTCGTATTGTCGCAACCTGTCCTTGTCAAAATATAGAGTGGTGGCAAAAAAACAACATCACCTCGGATCAAAATTGAACAACGCGCATGAAAAGATATTTGGCAACCAACCGAAATTCTACGTGGACAATTGAATATTTCCGTCAATATTTTTCCAAATTGAACACGAAAATCGCCAAAAATACTTAATTTTGTCGATACAATGGACCGAAAGATTGCCATGGCCTCGACAACGGCATCAACTGCACAAGCGCGCAATCATGGTGCGTTTGGCATGCGAGAACGCTGAACTCGATGTGTTTGCATCGAGGACGCAGGATGAAAGCATGGCTGATAGCGCCCCACACCAACAGCAACATGGCGCTCCATGGTCGAATTTGGAGAAAACACAGCACGCACAAGATCCTTCCAAACGCCACACCACAACTTGCCAGATTGTCCGACGAGCAGCCGCCTCGGTCGGCCGCACCGTCTTGTTCAAAACCCCTGCCTCGAATTTCCACGACGTAAACTATGCACATCATGCGTTTCGAGCAGCCACGACCCTCGTCCATTTCGTCAGTGGGCCATGTTATTGTTCGTGCGAATAGCCACCCGAGAATTGGTGCCTTCAGAAGGGTGCTGAGGGGCATCCCGGCTCCACTGAAGCGCTGGACGTGACAGGGCATCGCATTGCGCAAACGTCAGAGTACAATCGAGGGGGACGGGAGAACAGCCCAGAGGGCCGAGTGTTGGCCACCGCATCCTAAACAACTCTACACGAGGTACTCAGGGGGTTGATTTTCACGGCGGCAATGCGCCCGCCAGCAGCCATGTCCAGGCGCGTCCCTACTCGAGAGCCTCAGCAACTGCAGCAATTTCGGGCCATGATACGCCTACCTAATCGAGAATTGTTAAGATGCATCCCGCACTTTTCAATGTGACCATTGGACACAAATCCTCAAACGGATCGTCCAGGGCCACATTGAACGGCTGACCGTTGTTCACGGCAAACTCAACATGGGACAGACCGCG